CAGCCGCCATATCTGAAAATTAGTTACCCAGGCAGCCACGCTGTTTCCATAATTTAACATTGACTTGACACTTCTTCTTGTATTTATTATTTTATGGTTTTGCGTACTTACGAAATACATGTAAGAAATTGATACCATCTATTGGCCCCTCAGTTAAAAGTAAAACCTCTTGGTAAATGAGTTTTTGTATTCGGAATCTGCACACTAATAAATGACTGACAATCTTTAATGGCGTCTACCTACGGTCAAAAACGTGATTTCTTCTCTTCTACATGCTCCAAATACTCCAACGATTAAGACAACTTTAGCTAACAGGAATTCTTTGTCATCGGCTTCTTTCATAAAGCGTTAGATTTCCAATTTTGTAAATACTTTTTATTTCTTTGCCTGATATCAGGAAGCTTTTCTTTTTAGAAATGCAATAAGGTTTGTGAATTTGCTAATATCTACGTTTCTGTTCAGGTAAATCATAATGCGAAGCATCGAATATTTTCTCCATAGAGTTGATGGCTTTAAGGTAGTGGATAACTTCAGGAAATAGGCTAGCAATACCTTTTCTGTTAATACCTTTGCTGTTGACAGGTCTTATATTTGACATCTCCAATAACGCTAAACCCACAGATAAAGGAAACAAGTATAGATTGGAATGCTCGGCTTGCCGCCAAAACTTGTAATTGTTTTGGGGTGCATACGTTGTACGGGATCTGCCGCTGCTATAGCGGTTGCTAAAAACAATCGTAAACAAGAACAGAAATTATTTTTAGTATTTTTTTTTTCAAAAAGTCTCGTTAAAGAATCTTTAAAAATTATAAAATCTTTCAAAATTTAAACTGCCCTCATGGAAAAATACCGGAAAGTACTTAAAGCGTCCATTTTCAAAGTAAGTATTGCTATCTTGTGAGTTTAATTTAAATTTTGTTAACTTAAACCCGTGATAATTGTGAAAAAGTGGTATTAAGAACTTAAAAAGCTGTGTGAACTGTGAACTGCAAGAACCATCGTGGATCGTGGCATAACGTCGGTTTCCAATGTTTCATAGATATTTCATACATGTTCTTATATAAAATAAAGTTCCTTATATGCAACACACTGTATTTTATTTAAAAAATTAAAAGAAAATAATCAAGTCGAATAAATAATATTTGGCGACATAATTCCGGAAAAAGTCGAACTGCTCGGAAAGTATCAGTTTGTAGATGATCATTCGATATTGAGAAAAAAATAACCATCCTTTCCAAACCACACAAATTCTTGTAAATAAAATGTGACATCAAATTTGACAACGACAAAATCATAATTTTGCTGGTACTTTAATCTGGCTTTCCCTGGACCGTATTATAAATTTTTCAAATTTGAAGGTATATTTTTGTAAATAACATTTAAATTCCCAGGTCCATTCCGAATAAAACAAACTTCTAGGCGAATGTAACTTTAACGCCTTTTCAAAAAAGTCTAAAAAAACTTTTGCATAAAATGATCTGGATATGATGCAGTGGCGGACTAAGCCTGTCGGGGGCCCGGGGCGGCGAGCTGAATGTGGCCCCCGGTCTGTTTAGATAATGATATACTTCTAATGCACATTTTGTAAAAATTGAATGATGTATGTATAATGGTTGACAAAATTCAAGTATTTATACAGGGTGTCCCAGGCTGAGCCTGCATTAGAAGTTTCTAGAGAACTACAATATCTAGATACGAGATTTTGTGCATATCATTATCATTATTTTTTTTCAAATGGAAATCCACTTTTTTATTTCACTCGTGAAAAGGCTTTCGTTACTTTCGTTTTTACTTTGTGACTATACATGTTCCTGTATCTAAAATAAATTGTTTTTAAGTTATTTAAGATTTAGCTTTAAAGCGTATATGACAGTATATTATCGATCATCATTTCCAAGCTAACTTTGCGCTGTTTTTTTTTCGATCGCACGGTATATTATTAAAATATCAATTATTAGATATCACTAAAGAACAAAAATACGAGATATATTTATATAAATACACTTTTTAAACTTTTAAGCAGGCAGTAGTTATAATATAGGAAATTCAAATAATTAATTTTCTGACAGATATTAAATAAATTGTCTGACTGTTTGACGCTTAATGTCAAAGGAAGCTAGATAAAATCAAGAAAAATATACGTTTTCAAACTAAATCTTAAATAACTTAAAAAAGATTTATTTTAGGTATAGGAATATGCCGAATATGTCTAGTTAACGAATTGAAAAAGCTTTTTACTAGTGAAATAAAAAAAAGTGGGTTTCCATTTGAAAAAATATTTATGATAATATTTAATCGCTCATTTCCATGACAGCTACCGCCATTATTATATGACATTTCAACAATTTAATTTTTGAAATAGATAGCCACATGTCTTTTCTTTATGTCACAGGGGCTGTGATAATCAATAAATTTGACATTTAGGCTGTACAAATTTTTTTGACAGGTAGTTTTTTTCGTCCAAATATTTTAAATATTTTTTTCTTAAAAATGCTTCCAGGGAAATACCGCGACAAAATATCGCAATTTTGTAAGTCCTCCAGGATCCGAGGCGCCCCTTCGCTGTCTCAGGCCCGTGGCCCCCGTTATACTAAGGACTTCACTGCTCATCATCAGTAATGAAGCTAGAATACAAGTTATGCTGTGCATTGGTTGTAATTTAAAATGTTTATTCAGTTAAAATAAATAATGAAACCATTGAAAAATAACTTAAAAGCTAAAATAAATAAATTCAGTCTCAAAATATATAAAAAATAATAATTATTCGATATTTTAAACAAAGAAAATTACCCCTTGATTTAATTTCCTAAATAGAAAATGCCATTGGTCCCACAATTACTGGGACCTGATAATAATTGATAATTAAATAAATATCTGCTTCCATTTATACTGTTTATAGTTGGCGTATACGTATGGTTTGCATACTCCACCTACAAACTGATTTATAACAACCGAACACATATTGCATTAGCATAACATACATTAGCCTTGTTTGCCAGTTGAATAAAAAATTACTTATTAAGGTGCGTATTCATTATCCGCACGAACGAACGAACGAACGAATGTACGCTAGTGGAATGGACGGGGACCGCACGAGAAGACCGGAGGCATTTGTTGACAAACGCCTTTGATGTACCGACTCGAAACGGATGGTCGAGCGAACGAACGAACGAACGGCCGCATGCGTTCGGTCCCCGTCTAAATATACCGCACTTTCATTCGTTCGTTCGTTCGTTCGTTCGTTCGGATAATGAATACGCACCTTTAAGATTCGGAGGCCCCCTGAAAGAGGGGGCACGGGGCGGACCCCCCCTTCCGCCCCCCCCCCTCTCTTAGTCCACCACTGATATGATGGAGAGAAGAACGTGTGGAGATAATATTTGATCTTTTTAAAAATTACATGAGATTTCCTATATCCCGTGTTCCGATGCACTATACGGTATAGTAGAGATGGAATGAGTTCCATGAGTCGATTTAAAGGGTAATGAGGACACTATTAGAATTTTAGACGCAAGATGGTAAAAAATTAGCCAAATAATTTCGCAGTAAAAAATAATAGCATTCATAAATTCGCCAGATCAGTTAAGAACGAAATTTTAAAATAACATCGAAGATCTAATAGATTTTTTAAAGTATTGCTAATTTATTTAAAACCATATAAAGTATTTTTCAGAGACGTAGAAGAGAACCTTGATGGTATTTACTTTAATTGAGCTTACTTACACGAGATACGATTCCCATTTTTTAATGAACTTAAGAATTTGGGAAACATTAAAAAGTAAAAAAAAAATATTCATAATAAAATAATTACTTTTTTTCCATAGCAACTGTTAAATTTGCCTTATATCTATCAAAAATAGTAGATAAAATAAACTTTGACCGCAAGGGTAGATTAAATGATATTTTAACAGCGAGGATAGGTTAAAAACTTTATTTCTTCTCGCACGTTTTTTAATTGCTTCCATTTCTGAACGTTTTTGTATTCCTTTTCATAATTTATTCGGGATTTAAATGGAAGTAGTTTGAATATGGCGTTTGTCGCCTTAGCCTGAATATCTGTTGGTAATTTACTTATTTCGTTTTGAGCCATTTCTGGCTCCAATTCAATCAGCAATCGACACGAAAGAGAATTAAAAAATATTGACTCAAAACTGACAACTAAACAGACAGGTTTATTTATTTGTCAAATTACATAGAAACCAACGCCAACCCAGCACAATATTTTTTCGTAATAAATTCCTTCAAATAATAATTTCTGAATATTTTTTAAAACGTAACTCGCTATGGAAAAAAATATTGTTTTATACACGACGATAAAATTGCATTATCGTCTCCCGAAATCTTTTCATAGCTAATTTTTAATTTTTTATTAAAAATTTTAATGTAGGAAAAGAATGATTAAACTTTCAGGTATATGGTTGAAAATCCTCTGGATAATATTTTAAACCTCAAAACATAATTGATGGATATGGAAAATTATTTATAAACATATAATTTTACAAGAAAAGGATGTTTATAAGTGCACTTATATAACTAATTTAACCGAAAACGATACCTAAATATAATAGAAATAAATAATAACACTACTGGGGGGCCTGAGCCACTTGAAGCTCTACGAAATATTTTTTTAAAAGTTTTACATGGTTATTTAAAAAAAATACTTTTAACGAAATTTAATTTGGACAATTCTAATAACGCTGCGAAAAAAAAACAGCTAAGCATTTTAAATTGCTTTCATTCCCTTTTAAAAAAGATGTATTAAAACACCCTAAAAACCATCAAACGGTTCATCTTTTATCTCTAACCCCCCTATTTTAAACCCTCTTTTGCCGAAAGCTTCGAAAAACCACCCCTATTGGCGTGAAATTTTCTCTGTAGTCATGACGATTAACCCAGCAAGCTCGCGTATTGGTTGGAGCTTTCAAGCTCCACCCATTAGAGGGAAAACGCTCTGATTTTATGTAGATATCCGAATGCATAAGCTGGTGCAAAGCTTAAAAGATTAGTTTGACCGGTATGGGGACTAGTTGTAATTCTAATATACGAAGTGCATATTATTTTGAGTGAAAATGTGTTTATTCAGTGAATGTTTTCTTAAATGCAATCTTGCTTGGTGAAATAAAAAATTTTAATTTAAAATATGGAAATTGACGCTTCCTCAAGTACTTCAAACGATTCCCAAAATGACAATTTTTCCCAAAACAATTTAAGTTATTATTCAAACAATTTATTCTTTTCCAATAACAAACTGGACAATTACTTTTGCAGTGACAAATTTCGGAAATCTTGTGATACAAAAAAATTTCAATATTGTAGTGTAAACAACAATAATAGTGTTCTAAACAATAACAAAGTGGTAGTGTCTAGTGTACAAAAGTGTGTAGATGAAAAAAAATTGACCCTGTATAGTGAGAGTTTTAAAAAAGTGACGGAAGAAGGAAATGCGAAAAATGTTGGATTCTACACTGGAAATAATAAGGCCAAAAGTACCGAAAGTGTTGTTTTGAAAGTGGACACTTTCGGAAAAAAATCAGTTACATTTTCTCCCGATCAAGTAAGACATCTCATTTTTTATTACCTCTTTTGGTAAATTTGCTTATTATGAATCTAGATTAAGAGATAAAATGAAGAAATATACTTAATCTCCACACGTTCTTGTAATGTAATATCTAAAGATCTGAAGTTTTCTAAGAATATCTTAAAATTGATACTAGACAAAATGTTGAAACATGCAAGGGCACATACAGATGTGTAAAATTGCGTTAAAAACTGAATTCTTGTAATATTTTACAGCGAAACAAACGTTACAACAATATTTAATATCTTCGCATTTTCTTTCTTTATACCTACAACATACACTAAAACGATTTTTTTCTTAAAAAGTGTCGGGCATCTCTAGCTCCTAGAATCAAAAACTCGGGAATTGTTTAAGTGCAGACATAAAGTATGTACTGGAATGTATTTCAGGGAAATATTTTTAATTCTACAGGGTGGCTTAAAAAAGTGTGAGTGGATCGAGACTATTTTTTTTTAAATTGAACACCCTGTATATTATTGCATTTTTGGCTTCCTTTCAGATCACTTTACACAATCCTATGAGTAAATATATTCGATCGTTTCAGAAATACTAATAAATAAATAAAAAATATAGTTTTTCAGCATTTCTTAGAGACTATTAAAAATAAAAATACTAGAATTGTCCCGAAATCAAAACTATGTTAGGTATTTACTTTAGATGGTCTGTACTTACTTTGCTATAAATATCGTAATCTTAAACCATACAGGATGTTCAAGATTCTACGTCAAACTTTCTAAAATATATTATTTTCGTTTTTTTCAAATGAAGAATTAAAAAATAAAAATTTTTTGTATTTAGATAATTTCAATTTTTTTTACGGTTTAGCAGATACTCGCGGTATTATTTCATAAGGCCCTTTCAACTAGTAGTGGGAACTATCGAATGAATACTATCGAAAAATTCGATAGTTGCAATTCATTCGAATAATTCGATAGCTAGTAAAAAACATTCGTTGAAAACTATTCGAATAAAAATTATCGAATAGATGCCTCATCTGCCTTGAAATATTGTATTCTAGTAATTCGGCAGCAAAAACCATTCATTTAGAAAATTCATTCATTTATGAAATTCATTTATTCGTCAGGATCGATTATAATAAAATATTAACTGGATTTTTTAGTTGTCGCCCGGCGACGTAGGTTTCTTTCCGAGAAACCCGACAGGCGGTCGGTGGCAATGCTATGAAAGAAGCCGGCATCTTTGTTTTTTTGCGTCATAAAGATAAGGACACATTTTTTTTATTGAGGTGCTAGTATTTACACAGAAAATACATTATGAAGGGCGCTGTTGCTATATATTGGTATTAGTTGATATTAGCAAAGAATATTATTGTTTGTCTTTAGTTAGTTAGGGATAGTATGTCTATATATTTTGCATTTTTTTTATTAATATTCTGTTGTTACACTGCAATAATACTTGTTATTTTGGATGTAGGAAAATTATTTTTAATGTTTTTAAGCAAAGACTGGTTTAATAAAAATAATAATAACAGTAATAATTTGTTATACCTATTAACAACAAAATTTAAAATAATTTAATATAAAATTTTTTTTTAAGTAGTAGCAAAATATAACAATAACAAATTAGATGTCAAAATTATTTATATTAGATCCTATTTAAAAATAATATAGTCTTTAAATTTTTTGGCAACGTTGGTTTATTAAATAATAATAATTACAGAACTAATTTGTTATATTAACAACAAACTTTAAAATCATGAAATATAAACATTTATTAATTTTCTAAGCATGCCGTGTAATGGAAGGAAAATATAAATAAAGAATTAGAAATTAGAAATCAAAATTAGAAATCAAAATTATTTATATTAGGTACTTTATATTACTATATAAAAATAATATTTACTTTTACTGGCATTTACTTTAAAAAATAAATGAAATATTTCTTCGCAAAAAACTACATGTAAGAGAATTAGCATAAACAAAATACAAACATCGTTAACTTTTTTTTTTAAATTGGCACGTATAAAACTTTCAATTTAATTTTCTCACCCCATAGTTTGAGTTCGATAATAAATGGTTATCGAAACCTTAACCACATTACTTAAATATGATTATTAAGTTCAACTAATTCATATTATTAAAACATCTAAAATACAAATATGTATTTTTAAAATTAATTTTAAGTTCATCTCATCTCTCTTAAAAATTGCTACTTCTCAAAATTTCCCATTAAAAATTAGACCATATATACCATATAAAATAAAATAATTGAAAGATCGGGCTACGGAAAATTACACTACGCTACGGACACCTGCACACGCACACAATCGTCAATTAAAAAAAAACTACTATTTTAGTATTTTAAATATTTTAATAAACGCAAAAATAGCACAGTATTTATAAGGTGAAGTTATAAAAATTTGGAAGAACTAATAATGCACTGACGCACACAAAAATCAAACGAATACTAAATTTCATTTATCAAAAGCATTCGATAGTCGTGGCTCAACGATAACCATTTAGTTGCACGGCGAGGTTGTCACATATGTTTTAGTATACAAATGAATGAATGATTTTATTCGAATAAAACCATTCGATAGTTGAAATCATTCATTCAGTAACCATTCGATAGTCTAATTAATTCGATAGTTCCCATCGCTACTTTCAACGGTAAAATACGAGAGAAAAATCATTGGTGGCGTTGATAAAAATTTACTATGAAAAATGCCATGTGAAATATAAAACCGCGGACATCTGTGAAACAGTTAAAAATTTTGAAATACTCTAAATACAAAAAATGTTCATTTTTTAATTCTCCATCTAATAAAAAATAATATACAGGGTATTACATTAAAAAAAAAACAGAAAAATTATTTTAGATTTTATAAAGTTTGGCGTAGAATTTTGAACATCCTGTATGATTTAAGATTACGATATTTATAGCAAAGTAAGTATATGCCAATCATGCCATCCAAAGTAAATACCTAATATAGTTTTGATTTCAGAACAGTTTTGGTATTTTTAATATTTTTTTCTTAAGAAAGATTGAAAAAAAATGTATTTTTTGTTATTTATAGAGATCTCTGAAAATATCGAAATATATTCTATATTATATTCTATATTCTTAAGATTATGTAAAGTTATCTGAAAAGAAGCCAAAAATGCAATAATATACAGGATGTTCTATTTAAAAAAAATCATCCCGATCCACTCACACTTTTTTGAGCTTGATATCAATTTATAATCTAGGTAACAAAATATGTATAACTTACATTTCTGATAAAGGTAGAAGACATAAGTATACAGGGTGAGTTTCCTACGATGTTCTCTATGGGTATCTCGGAAACAACTGGAGATAGAGAGTCAGTTAAATGGGAAAATAATTGCAGTTTTGTGGGGTCATAAATATGCGCCTTTCAGATTTTTGAAAGAGTTCATGGCTTACTAGATATTTAAAAAAAAAAACAAATTTCGGCTATTTTAAAAATTGTCCCTAACTCCATTATAAGCTATTTTAGACAAAATGTTTTCAGATAAAAGTTGTAGATAATCATATCCCTTATGACAATGTGCCCTCCGTTTTCTTCTAAAGCCTGTCATTTTTGACATATGACACAAACATATGTTTTTTTAAATGGAAACCATAGTTGGCCATGACTTCATAAAAAGCGCAATTTTTTAAGCTTTTCAGCGATATAGGCTATAATATGTTTTCTTCGAAAAATTACAAAGTTATAGCCAATTCTTATCATTTTTAAACAATTTCACTTAGTTAGCCATGGAAACAAGTTTAATCGTCTTTGCTCTCAGAAATGTGAAGCGGTCACATCCAAATTTTGTAAATTAAAATAAGCAAAAATTGTAAATATGAATTTTTCAAATGAAGAAAAGCGTGTAGATACTCCCGCATCAATAGAGTGGTTCCAACATGACTTTTATTACGACCCCTCCCCTCATAATGAAAGAAATGTTAAAAATTATTTACATCATAATTATGCAAACTCAGGAATAGAAAGAGGTGGACCAATTACATGGGCCTCCTCGATCACCTGACTTATCCATTTTAGATTTTTTTTTGAGGTATGGTTAACAATAAGGTTTACAAAAGAATTTGTGAATCAAGAGAGGCACTCAAAGTGGCGGTACGAGAGAAGTTTAATTAAGTCCACCGGTCCTTCTATGAGAATAGGTAGTAATTCAGTTTTAAAAAGATGCAACTCTCAAAACAATGGCGGATTTTCTACAATAACTTAAAGTGTATGCAGTGATATTATTTTATAAGTTTTAGTTTGTGTAATGTAAATTGTAAGGAACCGTTTAGTAATATATTCTAACTTTTTATAAGTTTTATAAATTATAATAGAATAAGAATACCATGCAATCCAATTGAAATTAATCAAGAAAGATCAAAATTGGCTATAACTAAATGTAACTTTTCTGACATGTCTTGAAACCCGTTCTCTAACAAACGTAACATTCACCGGTTAACGTATCCTCGAAAATGTATGGTCAAAAAAAGTTGAACCAATAAATCCTACACGCTTTTCTTCATTTGAAAAATTCATTTTTACAATTTTTGCTTATTTTAATTTACAAAGTTTGGATAAAGCTTCACATTTCCGAGAGCAAGGATGATTAAATTTGTTTCCATGACTAACTAAGTGAAATTGTTTAAAAATTATAAAAATTGGCTATAACTCAGTAATTTTTCGAAGAAAACATATTTTAGCTTATATCGCTGAAAAGCTTAAAAATGGCGCTTTTTATGAAATCATGGCCAACTATGGTTTCATGTTTGTGTCATATGTCAAAAATGACAGGCTTTAGAAGAAAACGGAGGGCACAGTCTTATTAAAGATATGATTATCTACAACTTTTATCTGAAAACGTTTTGTCTAAAACAGCTTATAATGGAGTTAGGGACAATTTTTAAAATAGCCGAAATTTGTTTTTTTCGAAATATCTAGTAAGCCATGCACTTTTTCAAAAATCTGAATGGCGCATATTTATGACCCA